CAATGTTTTATATAGATATATATATATTTTTTTAGAAAGGTTTTTGCTCTAGGGCACATGCACTCGCTGGAGTAACAGAGACAGACAGAGAGACGGAAAGTGAGAAATCGCCCCCCTATGGAGGATGGCCATGCCACAATTACTTCTCTGTTCTCCTCTCAGGATTTCAGGCATGCACACACATGCACCTGGCTTAAGTTTTAAGCTGCTAGGTCTGGGACTTGAACCACAGTCGACTACATGGGAGTCTAGCGACGTAACCGTTACACCATCTGGTGGTCCCAGGGTGAGGCTTTTTGAATCTTCTGCAGGAAATCATGTTCATTGCTCCAGTGGAGAGGGCATAGGAGGGAGTTTAGGGAGCAACCAGGTAGCCAGTGAGAAGCAGGGCTCCATGTACAGACGTGTGGTCTATGCACTGCAGAGACACCGGCCAGGGCTGGGGCGCTGACACGACACGTCACCAGCCCACCACTGCTCTCCAACCCAAGTAAAAGCACTGCTAGGCTCACTGAGCCCTGGGGAGGGCGCTGGGGCCCAGGCTCTGTGGCTGGTGAATCCCAGACTCCCCCAGGTGCTCACAGAGTCCAGAGCACCGAGGGGAACAGGCGGCATGGACAGCATGGTGGGGCTCAGAGAGGAAGTCGGCCAGTTCAGGTGAGATGAAGACGGAGGCTCCTTTTACCTCCCTCCCTTTACTTTTTCCCTTTCTTTTTAAAAATAAATTTTGCTAGGGGAGTTAGCAGGTGACATGGCTGTTAGGGGTACTGGACTCCCACATGGCCAACCATGGTTTGAGTCCCGGACCTGGTGGCTTGCTTTCTGGCTCCACCCCTGCTCTGTCCCTCTCTGGTCAAATTAAAATAAATAAATAAATAAAGTTAAATAAAATGATTCTTTAAAAAAAAAAAAAACAGACCAGCAGTTGGCATAATGGCTATGTCATTGTACTCCCATGGAGGCCCAGGCCCGATTCTCCATGTAGCCTAAAGGCATAGCCTAATGGCCATGCCCCATTGGAGGCAATTTCTCATTTTCCCTCTCGCTGTCTCTGTCTCTCTCTGCAGCAAATGCACATGCCCTAAGGCGTAAATCTCTACCAAACAACAAGGACAAAAAAGACATTGGACTCCCATGTAGTCAACTGCGGTTCGAGTCCTGGACCTGGTGGCTTAAACTCACATTGTGTGCATGGGTGCGTGCGTGCCCAAGATCCAAAAAGGAGAGTGGAGGAGAAGGGACTGTGGCGTGGCCATCCCCCCTGGGGGGTGATTTCTCGCTTTCTGTCTGTCTGTCTAGCGCATTAGCCCTATAACAACAACAACAAAAACCTCTCAAAACAATAATCAAAGTAAACCTTGCTGTAGGGCACATGCACCCCCTGGAGAGAGACGAGGGAGGAAGAGAGGGAGAGTGAGAAATCACCCTCAGGGAGGGTGGCCGTGCCACAGTCTCTTCTCCGTTTTCCTCTCGGGATCTTGAGCACACATGCGCACACACACCCTGGTGTGACTTTCGTGCCACCAGGTCTGGAACTGTACCCACGCCGTGGGCCTCAACCACCACTCCAACAGCTGACTCCTCTCTTCCCTTCATTTTCCTTCCCCTCGCCTCCCATCCCCGCTCCCCTTCCTTCTCCTGTCCTGTCTGTGGAATCCTTCGTGTGGCCGACAGTGTCTTCCAGGCCCAACCGTGCTTAGTGCGCTTCGTCCCTCCGTAGGGCGGGGTGGGACCCCGGGACAGCTAGACCACATGCTGCCCATCCACATGCCACGACAGACACCGTTTCTCTCGTGGCTCCTGCGGTCAGCGCTGCTGTGAGCGTCACGTTCCAGTTGGTGTGTGCATGCGTGTCCCTGTGCCTCTTGGGTACAGACCTAGGAGTGTAGCTGACAGGTCACGAGGTCACTGGGTGTGCAGCCCTTTGAGGAGGGGCCAGACCGTCCCCGCGGAAGCTGCCCAGTCTGCAGTTCCTGCACGACATCGCTTGGTATCAGCCACCTCTGCCAGTACGAAGGAGCGTCTCACTGTGTTTTGCTTGTTTTTGGACGAGCTCTTGCTGCTGTGAGTCTCCTGCCTTGATCTCGCAAGCTGCTGGCTCACAGGTGCAATCACTGTGCCCATCCTTTAGGCTACACGGAGAATCGGGCCTGGGCCTCCACGTGGCCCCAGCCTGTGGCACATGGCGTCTGAGCAGCATGGTCCTGGGCACTGGCCTTGCACTCTGGTCGCCATTCGTATTTGCCCAGTGATGTGTTGAGCAGTTTCCATGTACTCCTTGGCCATTCGTACAGTTGCTTTGGAGAAATATTTATTCAAATCTCTTACCCGATTTTTAAAAAGTACATTTGTTTCTTTAATCGCCAGAGGGGGGAGGGAGGGAGGGAGAGGGGAGGAATCCCCCCAGGAGGGTGTGATCACACCAGTCCTTTTTCCTCTCTCCATCCCCTCAGGATTTGGGGCATGTACATACACCTGGTGTGTTTTTCAGGCTGCTCAGGCCAGGATCCGAACCACGGTTGGCCTTGTGGGTCCAGCTTGCTATGCACAGTATTTTGCCGCTGGGCTATGGGGCCGGCCAGATCTTTAGCTCCTTTTAAATGGGTTTTGTCATTGGGCTGAAATTGCTCTATCTACATCCAAGGTACCGGACCCTTACTAGCCATGCGATTTGCCAACACGTTTTCCCCTTCTGAGGGCTGCCGGTGTCGGCGTGCGGAATTTCTGCTCACCTTGAGCTTATGGGTGGCTGGAGACTCACCTCTGCTATAAATAGGTGCACATTCCCCACGTTGTAGAGATAAACCTTCAGTTGGAAAAGACAGGTGGAAAGAGAATCACCCAGCCCTCATCCCGGCAGCCTTGTGCCCACGACGGCCTTACCCGGATCTTGCTGTTGAGGACCCTGTCATTGATGTCCTCGTCAAAGCACTTCTGCGGGTACACGTCAATACAGTGAGTCCTCAGGTTTTGCTGGATCTGGGGACCACACACACATGACCTCAGCTTACTCTGCCCACGTTTTCCACTGCCAAGGGGGTCCCAGCCCTCCCAGGCACCCAGAGCACCCTGTGCCTGAAGGCCTCTCGCTCCTCGATGGTCAGGCTGTCCGCCCGGGCGATCACGGGCACCACGTTCACAGTGCGGCATAGCCGCTGCAGGAACTCGATGTCCAGGGGCCGCAGGCTGCCAGGCAGGGGCCGATGGTGGTGGCAGCGTGCTGAGTGTATGCACTAGGGGGAGCAGCCTGCACCCCACGTGGGGACCCCCCACGAGACGTGCAGCTCCTCACCAGTGTCCGGTGGGCGGCACGAAGTACACGCAGCAGTGCACCCGCGTGTCGGGGATGTGGCGCTGGCGGGTGATGAGGATCTCCTCCTGCAGGTACTGCTCGTACTGCTCGTTGATGTAGCCCAGGATGGGGTCCCAGCTGGGGTGGGGACCGGCTGCCCCTCAGAACCCCACCGGAGCCCCTCCCGCCTTTGCAGTCCTCCGGGGCCCGCCCGGAGGTGCCCAGGGCCGGCTGGCTGCCCGGCCACCCTCCCACACCCCACACCCCCTCAGAGACCCAGGGCCACCCGTGCCCAGGCCTGAGCTTCCTTGTCTGCAGGACGCAGGCATCGCCAGTTCCTAAGGGAGGGGTGAGCATTAGGAGGGAGGCGCCCCAGCCTGGTTCCAGCTGCCTGGACTCTAGTCTGCGGAACCCTCTCACAAGCGCCCCCTCTGGGCGACTGCCAGCATCGCAGCCGACAGACCCCTGCACAGCCCTGGGTCACAGGGACAGCTGTGGGCACACGTGTGTCACTCAGTGTCCAGTGACAGAAACGCGAAGCCCTTACGCTGCCCTCCAAGGCCCTGCCTGGTCCTGCCACCTCCCCCTCCTTGCACCTCAGCTGGTCCTGTCTCAGGGCCTCTGCCCCTGCCATGCCTCTGCCAGGAAGGCTTTTGCCCGGCACACCCACGGTCCTCATCTGTCCACCCTCTGGAAGTAACCTTCGTGAGTCTCTCCACCACCCCACTGAAAACCGCAAACTCCGCAGCCCCGCCTGCCTCCTGGCCTCTCCACATGCTCCTCCCGCCTCATGGCAGACTTCCCTTCACTCTCAAAAATGTCCTATTTGGGGGCCAGCAGGTGGCATGGTGGTTAAGGGCACTGGACTCCCACACAGCTGACTATAGTTCAAGTCCCAGACCTGGTGGCTTGCGTTCTCACTTTCTCTCTCTCTCACTCTGACCCTCTCTGGTCAAATTAAAAATAAATAAATACATGGGACCAGCAGTTAGCGTAATGGCTATGTTGCTGGACTCCCATGTAGTCACCTGCAGTTCGAGTCCCGGACCCGGTGGCTTAAACTCACGCCGGGCATGTGTGCGTGTGTGCCCAAGATCCCGAGAGGAGAATGGAGGAGAAGGGATTGCGGCGTGACCATCCTCCTTGGGGGGGGATTTCTAGCTTTCTGTCTCTCGGTCTCTCTCTGTCTGTCTGTAGAGCACACACGCCCTATAGCAAAAACCTCTCAAAAGTAAATAAATACATTTAAAATTAAATAAAATAGTTCTTTAAAAAAAAAAAAAAGTCCTGTTCGGATCGTTGGTTCTGTCCGTGGGCTGCCCTCTGTGCAGCGGGACTCGCATGCGGCCAGGCTGTGTATCTGCGCTGGCCCTTGCCGTCCCCCTCGTCCTGGGCGTGCAGCTCGGCGTGCGGTGGCTCCCCGTGCAGGGCTCCAGGCTCGGCCCCGCTTGCTCGATCGCTCTGCAGTGTCCGTCTTACACCCTTTCCCTTTTTTTTCTCCTTTTATTTTGCTGGAGGGGTGTGTGCTCTCTAGAGAGACGGAGAGGGGGGGCTCTCCAGGGCATGGGCACGCTGCAGTCTCCTCTCCTCCATTTCCCCCTCCTGTTGGGAATTTTGGGCACGTACCCAGCATGATTGTCAAGCTGCCGGATACAGGACTCGAACTGTGGGGTCGGCCATGTGCAGCCAGGGCCTGGGCCTGTCTGCTCTTACAATTCTTAGTCATTTCTGAGCATAGGCCTCACGCCCTGCTCTCACTGGGCCCCCAGATCACGCAGTGGCCAGCCACGGGTGCATGTGTGTTTTATCAGCTGTCCTCTTCCAGAGCCCAGAACGCCTCAGGGTGGGCGCCATCACCCCCGAGTTACCATGGAGGAAGCCAAGGCCCCACAACGTCTGCAACCAGATCCAGTTTACGCAGCTAGAGCATGGCCTCCCTGGGGTTCCTGACTCTGGAGTGAGGGCTTCTGATTCCCTGCTGTCCTGGGACCTTGAACGAGCACCACGGTGTGCCGGGCAGCCAGCTAAGACCACTGCAAGCTCCCCTCCTTTGACGCGGAGGACGACTTGAAGGAACCCATTGCACTGAGGGGAACACTGCGGCTCACAGATGCCCAGCCAGGGCGCTCCGGGGCTGGGATGGTCCCCAGAGCTTGCAGGGCATGGGCAGAGAGGCTCAACCTGTCCACAGCACGCACCACTTGTCATTGTTGATCTGGTCCCCAAAGCCGGGAGTGTCGGTCACTGTCAGCTTGAGCTTCACGCCCTTCTCCTCGATGACTGTGGAGGGCGGGGAGGGGTTGGACCTTGGACCGGGCCGGGGTGGGGGGTGCCCGCCTGTTGCTGTAGACTCACCATGGGTCACGGAGTGCAGCTGCAGCGTCTGGGGTGTGGGCACCCCCAGGCCCGGCACCGATGACTTCCACACTTTGGACTTGAATAGTGTGTTCACCATGGTGGACTTGCCCAGCCCGCTCTGCCCTGGGAGGAGCAAGAGAGGCCGGAGCAGGGTGCTGAGGCTGCGTCGCTCCACCCCTTACACACACCCCTCGCTCAGAAGCCGACTGTCTCCAAGTGCAACGTAAGTACCTCCCACCATGTCCAGCGCGGGCCTTCCCCTCCCTTTTCTTTCTTTTAAGATGTTTTTATTTATTTCCTCCGTGAGTGAGAGAAACAGCACCCCAGCAAGGTCTGGACGCTGCGCTCCGCCCCCAGCTCCAGCCGGCCAGGGATCATGGGCACGCAAGCGCCCGGAGTACTCAGAGAGGTCTCTGGACGAGCCCCGGGACCCTGGGCGGCCTCAGAGAGCGTGGCAACTTCCTGCTGTGCCACCGTCCTGTCCTGCCTTTTTCTTATAGAAGTAAAATTTAGTTAATGAAAAATTAGCCGGTGGGGCCAGCAGGTGATGTGTTTAAGGCGCTGGATTTCACGCGGCCGGCTTTGTGAAAACTGCCTGGAGGGGCGACTTCTCACTCTCCCACCTCTCCCCGGTGAGCACACGCACCTACAGCAAAGGCAAAACAAAACGGAGCAAGCCAGCCATCAGCCATATCCAGTGAGTAAGGTACCTCTAGACCACGTTGGCCACCAGCCCCTCATGTGTCGAGTTCCAGGGTGTTTTCATCACCCCAAAAGAGACCTGTCCCCGTGAAGTGGCCACTCCCCAGGGCCGCCTGTCCCCGGCTCGTGGCACCCACTAGCCCACCCTCTGCCTTTGTGGGTCTGCCTATTTGGGACACGCCTCATGCTCGGAAGCACGCGGTAAGGCCTTTGTGTTCGCTTCTCTCACTTGGCACCAGGTTCATCCACCTGTCAGTGCTTCATTCTTCATGGCTGAGTAATATTCCATCAAAGGGGTAGACTTGGCCAGTCCTATGACCTGGTGGTTAAGAGCCCCTGACCCCACATGGCTGATCATGGTTTGAATCCTGACCCTGGTAGCTTGAGAGACGCACCAGGTGCACATGCCCCAGATTCCAACAGGATGGGAAAGTGGAGAGGGGACAGTGGCCTGAACACACCCCACTGGGGGTGCTTTCTCACTGTCTCTATCTCTCTGGCAAGTGCTCCTGTCCTCTGCAATTGAAATGATGGCTAGATCATTCCTGGGGAGCCATTGGTTTGCCAAAGGGCAGTTGGACAGATTCCTAGAGACACACCAGTGTATGTGGCCCCAGATCGAATCATGCTGGGTGATTGAGCCTGGGGGCATGACCTCCCCCGCGCACCCCCTGTGCACCCCGCCCCC